CGAAAATAAAATTGTAGACGGAAAAAGAGGCAAAAATATTTCGTGGAGATTATCCTGAAACAAAAATCTGAACAAAAAAAAAGTTGAGAAAGCTCAAGACGCTGAAGAAATAAAGCAACAGAGGTGGAATCCCCCACCATGCAGAATCAGCTAAGAATTTTATGAATAAAACAGAAAGATAAAATTAAATACAGATCGAAAAATAGAAAAATGACATGAAATGGGTCATCGAGCCCAAGACAATCATCCTGTTTATGCAGTACCAATGTGGGAGGTTTTGGTTCAAATTTTTAGACTACAACTGACAATATTAGGGAAGATCCCACCCAGCAACAGCAGTGAGTAACCACAACCGTGTGACCAGGAGAAAAAATTCAGGCCATGAAGTGAAGGAGTAAAAAAGACAGCTCAAGGTCATAATTGAAATAATCAGCGTTGCAACAAATAAAAATTGGAAAAACTGATATGAAATTCAATCGGGTAACTGGACAAAGCAGATGAGCACAGCGCCGTGGCAGACAGCGCTGCTCTCGTGCCAGAAGTCAAAAGTTTCAACCCGCCAAACAGCCGAATAATCCCTTCACCATTCGCTCATTCATTACGATGGTAAGCTGGTACTGGTATATGCCAAGGAGTCAAACTCATCACCATCATCCCACTTTCAAACAAACGTCAGAAGGGGATGTGGATGGTTGCTGTTGGCACTAGTACTTCCGCCTTTCACATGAAGTGGAAAAGGAAGGAGTTTTGAATTTTCAATTAATTACTGGATAGAAATAAGCCGACAAATTTTGATAAAATTGCATTTTTTTATTTTAATACGAATCAACGAAAAAAAAAAAAAAAAAACAAAATTACTTGTTTTCCGGTGCGATCCACAGTATACGAAAGATAAATATTATGTGTTGAAACAGCCAGTGAAATATAGCAGCATACTATAAAAAAATGACTGACAAAGTACATGAAGTCTCAGACCCTACGGCTGTCCAGAGGTATCGGTAGATTCTGCAGACTACCACTAAGACTCATAAAAGAATACTGTGAGGACCACTGGGAGCTGGTTGAAGAAGTGATCAGCCGAACCAAGGCGAGTACGCAACGATGAAAAAACAATCGATTGAAAAATCAGTGCAAAATGCTGTGATATAAGCCGAGCTGCCTAGGAATCCATTCAGTTACGTCCAAAAAATGACCAGTAAACAGGGAAGTCACTAAATACGCTGAAGAAAACGAAGCCCGATTTTAATTTCCATAGGGAATTAATATCAACATGCGCATAATCTACTAGTTACCCCTTACAGGGTAACGCTAACAATGTATTGGCCTATGGTATCTTTCTAGGTCAAGGACAATGACCACAGCCGGTTACCGGAATAACTGATCTACGCTGAATCGTCGTCGTCCACTGCATATTTTGCATTAACTGGAGAAACGAGAAATTTCTGTAGCAAAAAAAAAGAGAAAAACTGATCATGCAAAATAAAATGGCCTAAATTCCTAAAAAGCTATCCAGAAAACCCAACTCAAACTATGCTAACACCACGTTAGGCTTTCAAAAGCGATCAATCAGCACGCTTGTGTTTCACAACCCCTACTTTTTACTGTGCAGGCCCTCAACCAGTGACAGAATAAGGTTTGCTGGCGCCTCAAGATCGAATGAAAATAACGAGGAAAACAACTTACGATAAAATCCAAATTCGAAGCAAACAGCAAGCGTAAAACCATCGAAAACATAAAATTTGAAATATTCGTAGCGTTTAAAAAATGTGAACAAATAAAATAAAGTAAGCCCCTAAAAACTTGACTCAGCATTAGCCTTCTGTTTTATTTCATGTTTTTAAAAATTTATGAAGAAGAATCTTCTAAAGACATAGAGCGGGTTAGAAGTGAAAGCAAGTGGTCCTGGCCACAGCTGCAGCAGTCTCGACGAATACGCCCGTTTAATCGCCGATATTCATTTAAAGGTTCATCTGCTGCCTCGAATTTTCAGTTAACTAAGTGAAAACTTCACTAACGTAAAAGGTTTCTCCTCTTACGTCTTCCCTCCCTCTCTCCCCACGTCCCTTTCAGTAAACCCCGAAAAGTGGACATCATGGAGACGACCTTGTTCTCTGACCACTAATTTATTCTCAAGGGAATATTTTTTTTTTTAAATTCACAAATCCTTGATAATAAAAAAAGGCTCCGAAAGAACTAAACTGTCAACCTCCTCCCAGGGTTTTTCCGGGCAACTCAGCACGACTGAGACAGAGTTTCGAGTAGACCTTACTTTTGGTTTAAGCCTTCCTTTTCATAAAAAATTTGAGGAGCAAAAAACAGAAGTTCCAGTTATCAATTACGCTCGGCCTTGCTAACATCAGCTTGGTGCTGAAGAACGTCTGGAGAGCGAGTTTTTCCCAACAAACACTACGAACTTCGCAGACACCTACACTCGAACAAAAACGTGGGAGAGCTGCCAGACAGATTTTTTTTTTTTGAGAGAAAGAATGAAAGAAAATTTAACAATACGAACAAAAGCAACTCACGTATTGACTGGCATCATATCCCCAAGATAAATATAAGGTACCGGTGTTGTATTTCTCCCAGTGTGAAACAAGGAATACAACTTGAACACTGATAAGCACCATTAGCTGCCGAATCAGCGGCACACTATATAAAAGAATACAAAATTTTTTAGTAATTCAATTCACATTTCTCTAAGACCCAATGCATAGCCCCTAAACCATCAGCTTCAATGCACTTCTTTTAAAAAGGGGAATAAAATGCAAAGCTAGTAATGATTTACAGGTGTGTTTTAGAAAAACTACAGTGCACTTGCGCCACGAC